TATGGATATATAGGTGTTTGTGTATACAAAGCCAGAGAGAGAGACAGAAAGAAAGAAAGAAAGAAAGACAGAGAGAGAGAGATACATATATATATATATACATACATACATATATATATACGTATATATATATATGTGTGTGTGTGTGTGTTTATACATATATATATATATACATATGCATGTAGGTGCATTGATTTATTTTTCATTTATGTGTACTGGTTTATTTGCTTGCTATGTACTTAATTATTGTGTATTCATTTAGTCATTTAACTGCTTACTTTCGGTTCTACGTATATATATATATATATACACATATATATATATTCATATATAGATATATACATATATACATATATATATATATACATATATATATATATATACATATCACAAAAAAAACATGCCGAGGATCAGGTCCAAGACCGCAAAGAGGGCGACCTCGAGGTCTTGGCTGCAGAGAACAGCCCAGTCCTCAGGGGCTTTAGAAGGGGGTTTTAAATAGGGTTTTAAAAGGGTGTTGACAGGGTTTGACAGGGGTTTTACAAAAGGGTTTGAAAAGAGGTTTTAAAAGGGGTTTTAACAGGGCTTTAAAGGGTGTTAGAAGGGTTTGATAGGGGTTTTAAAAGGGGTGTTAAAAGGGTTTAGAATGAGTTTCAAAAGGGGTTCTAAAAGGCTTTTGAAAGGGTTTTAGAAGGGGTTGATAGGGGTTTTGAGGTTCAGGGTTCAGGGTTTAAGTTTAGGGTTTTTGATAGGGTTTGATAGGGGTTCTAAGGTTCAGGGTTCAGGGTTTAAGTTTAGGGNNTAGGGTTTAGGGTTTAGGTTGAACTCCTTTTTCCCAGGGTCAGCACTTTCTATCCGGATTCAGGCTTCAGGGTTATGGGGTTTGGGGAGCTATAAGTCCTCACAACGTTTCAGGGGCTCGCTACGTCTACGGGTGTTGACGGAGCTATGACGGTTCTAGAATACATGGGTCCTAGAAGGGAACTTACAAGGCACAGGGTTTGTGAGCTTCGGTTTCATCATTTAGGGTTTAGGAGAGCTCATGAACAAAAAACCCCAAACGCCATGCCATACACCCAACCCAAGGCCCTAAACCCTAAATT